TGCTGCTGATTATCCATACTGCTGATCTCATGCTGCTGATTATCCATGCTGCTGTGTTTATTTGTACTCATCTGCTCACACAGACTCATGTTCGTGCTGCTGTTGTTCAGCGTATTGTTTTGCACCGTTAATTTAAGTTTATATCTAAAGGCTCTTTTCCAGTAGAGCCACTACGGCACGGTTCCACGGTTCCACGAATCCACGGTTTCACAAATCGTTGCTAGTGGAACAGCTTTGGAACCGTGCAGAGCCGAGTCGAACCGTGCCGTACAGGCGCTAGTGGAAAAAAGGCTTTAGATCTTATTACTGTTTCATTTCACAATTTATATTTTTACTACTGTTGAATGTAACTGGGACCCAGCACTCCTGCTCCTCGAAGGAGCGTGTAGCTGCATGAGGCGCTGCGTGTGCTGCGGCTGGAATATCCAGACTGGGTCCGCTGGGCTGAGGGCAACGTCTCCTCTCGTTGTATTTTTTAATAAATAATCAAAATAAAAATGCGCGATGACTTTGGACTTTTAGGGGCGGAGTTGACGGATCCGAGGAAAGAGTGCTGGAACAGAACGGGTCAAAATGAGAGAGTTCCGGGATCTTGTTCCGGCAGGATCCGGCTCAAATTAACCACCGAGTGCAGCTAATCCAAGATGGAACATCAATGCGAGCGGGGGCAAGAAGATTTGTTGTTCTATCAGCGCAGTGTCCAGAGCATGGAATAGGTACCAGGAGACAGGGAGGGGGCTGTAGGAGGACTACAACCCAGCAGCAGGACCGCTGCTTCGTCCTTTGTGCAAGGAGGAACAGGAGGTCCACTGCCAGGGCCCTACAAAAGGACCTCCAGCAGGCCACCAATGTGCACGTTTCCACTCAAACTGTCAGAAACAGACTCCATGAGGGTGGTATGAGGCCCGACGTCCACATATAGGACCTGTGCTTACAGCCCAACACCGTGCAGGACGACTGGAGTTTGATAGGGAACACTAAAATTGGCAGATTCTCCATTGGCGCCCCGTGCTCTTCACGGATGAAAGCAGGTTCACGTTGAGCGCACGTGACAGACGTGACAGAATCTGGAGACACCGTGGAGAACGTTATGCTGCCTGCAACATCCTCCAGCATGACCGGCTTGGTGGTGGGTCAGTCATGGTGTGGGGAGGCATTTCTTTGGATGTCCACACAGCCCTCCATGTGCTAGCCAGAGGTGCCCTGACTGCCATAAGGTACTGGGATGAGACCCATTGTGAGACCATATGCTGGTGCAGTGGGCCCTGGGTTCCTTCTTATACATGACACTGCTAGGCCTCATGTGGCTGGTGTGTCAGCAGGTCCTGCATGATGAGGGCGTTGATGTTATGGACTGCTCTGCCCGTTCCCACACCTGAATCCAATCGAGCACATCTGGAACATCATGTTTCGGTCAATCCACCAAGGCCACATCAGACTGTTCAGGAGCGAACCGATGCTCTGATCCAGGTGTGGGAGGAGATCCCTCAGGAGAACATCTGCCGTCTCATCGGGAGCGTGTCCAGATGTTGTTGGGAGGTTCTACACACGCTGAGCCTCATTTAGACTTGAGGAACATTCACTGACGCTGAATCAGCCTGTTATTTTCTTCTCAATCAATTCCACTGTGCTAATAATAAAGTTTGTCAATGAGAATATTTAATTAAATGAGGGCTAGGACGTGTTATTTCTGTGAGCAGTGTAAACTTTAAGGATACAACTTATTTTTGTAGTCATTAACTAATTATTTTTCTGACTAAATTAAACCAGTGTTTTAGGCTAGTAACAATGCTACCGACTTCGCAAACTAAAGTCACTGTTTAAATCATTTGCAGCCGTCCGTGTTGCTCTCGTGCTAACGCCAATTAGCATTCATTTTATTAACTACTTCCTGTTTCCAGTCACTCACTACGGTTCTACTGACTAGAAATAACTTACCTCTTTGTTTTATTGCGAAGGAAAATCGTTTACCTGCGCGCCAGTATCAAAAAGTAGATGCAAAAACGTGTGCAGGAGGTGGAGCAGCTAACAACGTGACAGCCATCTTGCTTTTCCTTTCGCATTTCGGATGACGTCACGACACTGGAGGACAAACGGGTGGCACATCTGGCCAATCAGCGAGTAGAACGTCATTGATTGACGGCCGAAGCAGCCAATCGATGGACGTGGACCAGAAGGCCACTTGGGGCAGCAGAGAAGTGTTTGAAACTGGTAAAATGGTTTATGGGGACATTAGGACTGTGGCAAATGTCCTTATATTTATAGAATATAAACTTACAAATATTTTATTTCAAGTGTTTTATTAAAAAAGAACAGACAATAAAAAAACTATTGGCAGCTATAACCTAAGAACAGGAACCAGGATTTACATGAAACTGCAGTCATTTTGTTTTAAATAATACGGTTAATTTGGGACAAAACAGATCTCCCAAAATAAATTCAAAACACGGTCAACATGGGGGAAAGTTGTATTTTCATTTCACAAATAATCAATGTTACTTTGATTTTTTTTTCACTAGTTCAGTCACATTCAAACCCTGGAATTATTCAAATCAGTTGGTCACTTGTCAACATGTCAGTTTATCGTAGTAATGTTGAAATAAAATTTAAAAAGTCAAATTCTCTTAAAACACCTTCATAATGTCACCCCAGTGTGAACTAGAAAAAATATATAGTCCGAGCTTGTTGTGTTTTATTAACGTCTGGGATTGTTTGTGTGAATGAGTTTAAAAGTTGCCTTACGATGCAGCAACCGTTCTAAAGTAAAGTTTTAAAGTTGTCAGCAGGTTTGCATCGAAACAAGACGGACACGACCTCAAAAAGATGTTTTCAGTGATTCTTCCGAGGGTCAGCTCTTCACTTCAATCTCCAAACCCACAGACTGGTGTGCACGGAAACGTCAGGAACCCCAGCAGACAGCGCGGACACTGCGAGCCGCCATTCGCTGGAGAAAAAACCGCCCGACGTGCACGTCTGGTGTCGTTCGTTCTGAGCAGCAGGAAACAGTCTGAAAGCTCATGTGCAACTTCCTGTTCAAGACAAAGTGTAAAACGCGAAACGTTTCGTCGCTCAGCTCTTTTTTCGGGGGTCACAAGAACAAAATGTAGTGAACGTTCAAGTTTATTTACAGACGCCGCTAAAAGGTCACTTCGGTTCGTGCCGTCACTCCGAGTCGTCCTCGTCTTCAACGGGTGCGAAGAGCGGGTCCTTCGCTCCGTTCTTCTTGGTCTTTAGGTGCAGCTCCCGGACGGTGAGGATGCGGGTCAGCATGGCCTCCATGGTGCTGTCATCCAGAGGGGTGGAGGAGAACCACAGCGGGCTGTTGGGCACGCAGCAGCGCTCCGGGTGAAGGTAGAACATGTTGGTGCGCTGCTTCACCGACTCGGAGCTGAAAGGAAGACAACCCTCAGTGAACACCCGCTGCAGAAAAGTTAATAATTCAAGCAGAACCCTCGTTTTGTGTTCCTCTCACCACTTGGAGAGGTAGAACTCATAAAGCCTGACGGGACAACGAAGAGGGTTCTTCGTGTTCTCTATCATCTCCAGGATCTTCTCTTTGCCCTCTTCTTTACGTTTCTTTGCTGGAACCTCGTCCGAATCTGCAGAGGACGCAAACGTTTAAGACAAATCAATTAAACGAAAGACACGCAAATAAAACTCTGCGACGCGTTTGTGTGTCTCAGTTGAACTTTTCCTGTAATAAATGCACTTTGACGGTCAAACCAGCTGAATTTGAAAAAGCGATTCGCGGCTGCAGGAGCGTGCAGAGGGACGCAGCAAGAAGAAGAAACTTCTTAGAATATCTGACCCTTATTTTAAAAAATATTAAACAACTCAGGCTTGAACAATCCCCCAAGCAAAACCAAAAAGCATCAGGCATTTTTCACATGGTGTCATACTTTACTAACAATTCTTTTTAAACATATAAACTGTTGTAGAAATTTTTATGGCGATATCAAGGCAATTCCACATCCTGTTCCCTGAATTACGAGACACTTGGCTTGCCATATCAGCCGAGCGCCCTCTAGTGGCTGAAAACGGTAGTGTTCAATATTTTCAATATTCAAATGGATGAAATAGATCTCAGCTAAAAATGGGGTTATAAATATGGAAAAAAAAAAACAAATATGTCGCTTCGATGTATAAGTCTGACATGCTAATTTATGCAAAAAACTGTGACATACAGCAAAAATTATGGTGATGGGGCCGAGATGGTGTCGGGGCAGGGCAGCCGACTCGGGACCTGAAGGTCCTGGGATCGATCCCCGTTCATTGCACATCTCATGGCGTCTCTGAGCCGGACACCCAATCCCAAATTACTCCCCGGGCGCCTGCATAGCTGCCCACTGCTCCACTGCTTTGTATGGGAACATACAATGATGATAACACAAAGCACTTTGTTTATTATTAATAATTACAAGTGGCTATTAATGAGACACTTGGCTTGCCATACCAAGCCGTCTTCGTCTTGATCCAGAACTCCTGGAGCAAACGTCCAATCAGCTGCATTTCGCTGCGACGCCCCGGTGAAATGCAGCTGATTTGACCGTCAAAGTGCATTTATTAAGGAAAAGTTAAGACGGAGACACACCTTTGCTATAATTTCCAGCAAACAAAAAAGTTTTAAGTGTTAATCTTGTTAAATTCTTGTTAAAGTCCTCCCATACACGCTCCCACAGCCGCCATTAGGCAGCCAACTGATTTTTGGCACAACACCGGCCCACGTTTCCGGGTTGTCGGTGGTGACGCATCAAAGATGGGACTTCTACAGCGAAGCGACGTGTTTATGTTTTTTCCACTTTATTAAACGTATTTGGACTGATGAGGCTTATGTGGCGGTGCGACGTGTACGGCAGCAAGTACGGTAAATCTGTGCAACAGCTGCAGACGCTACGAGCGCAAGGGCAAAGATTTTCAGACGTTCTTTAATCAAACGTTCAAATAAAGTTTTCAATGATGTCTTTAATTAATCTTACCGGACTCTGCCTCGTTGATAGGAATGGGGGGGTAGAAGCGCAGGAAGGTGGTCTTGCTGCCGTCCGAGTTGGTTTTGGTGCAGCGCATGACGTGAGCGAAGGACAGCTGGCGGTGCTGCTCCACGTCGGTGAAGCCGAAGTGTTTGCAGCAGAAGAAGAGCAGCGTGTTGAGCAGCACGATGGGGGAGTACGCCCCCAGCTGCTTACACCCCCACAGGAACTCCTCCTCCACGCGGGAGTGGACGTAACCTGCAGGAGGAAGACGGGCCGGGTCCGAACATGAACAACCGGGGCGTCGTCGGTTAAACCAGATGTTGGACAGTTTGCTCACCGCTGGACGTGACGACGGGTTTGAAACTCTTCAGCATGTTGGTGATCTCAGAGGAGAACTTGCTGTAGAACGGATCCATGAAGATGTTCTCCACCCGACCGTTCTCGAACAGGAACTGCAGAGAGACAAAGGTGTCAGAACCCCCAACCGCACCTCCGTCCAAGCAGCCGGCGTCCTGAAACCTTTTAAAGTGGTTTGGACCAACAGTTCTTCAGATTTTATAAAGGACGAGTCTTTCAGGCATCGTTCCCAAAAAAATGACTTAGATTTTGTTCCTCTAATAAAAACACTATTTTAGGCCTGACGGTTTGTTTAGCTTTCCTTTTATTTAATTTTAAAACGCTGAGATCCGTCAGAGTTTCAGCCAACAGGTCGGTGAGAATCTCCTTGTTGGAGCTAAAAGCCCTTTTTCTGTCAGTTTGTGTCGTTTCTGGTAATTTCATGAATTCAGCTAAAGAAACAGGAACAAACTGCTCGGCTGCTGGAAACAAAGAGACTCACGTTAAGTTCCTTCAGTTGAGATTTCACCTTTCTAAAAGTCAGATCCAAACCCTCTCTGTCCTGTGAGCAGGAAAAAGCTGAGAAGTTTTTAAAAAGTGACCGTCGACTTGTTAACAAATAAAAAAAAACGTTGCTGTAGAAGAACTGAAGCTGAGTGGGAAAAGCAGCCGAAGCCCAAAGAAACAGATTAGAGAAATGCTGATTAAAACCACTTCAAAGGGTTGTGTGAAGTCCCGGCTGCTGGTTCAAGACTTTTGCACGGTGCCGCGGCGGGTTTCTTGCCTGCTGGATGCCGAGGCAGAGGTAGAACAGGCTGTCGGGGGAGTACAGCTCCCCGTTGGGTCGCTTCACCTCCTTTATGAAGCAGCACAAGCCGTAGCTGAGCTCAGCCGTGGTGCAGCACAGGATGTCCTCCCTGAACTCCAGAGGACGAGCTGAGACAGAAGGAACAAAAGTTCAAACGTCTCCTCCGGGTCGACAACGCCCCGACGGTTCTGAACTTACAGCCGAGGCGGCGCTGCTCCAGGTTGGGCTGAGTCTGCCTCCACTGGATCCAGTGCTTCCAGGCGTCCACTCCGTACTGACTCTTCAGCTTCTGGGTCTCTGCAGCCACGGTTTTCTTGGAGGTCTTCAGCGCCGCTTCTTCAGCAGCTTTGGTCAGCCGCTGAGACTTCCGGCCCTGAGAGCAGAGACGCAAAGGATGAGACGGGAGGGGGCGAGACGGGAGGGGGCGAGACGGGAGGGGGGGAGACGGGAGGAGGCGAGACGGGAGGGGGTGAGACGGGCGGCGGCGGGACGGGAGGCCGAGCACC